TATCTGTCGGCGCGTAAAACAGTGGATTCTCAATACTTCGTGACTGAGATCCATTGGCTTCGAGGCTTTTCTTCTTCTCTCTTTCATCTCTTGGTGATCTACCCTCCGAACCACAAGTAGCCTCACTGATTACAATTCGCTCGCCATGGAGCAAGAACTCCTGTCGCTCCTGGCAGACACCCAGTCGCCAAAGGCCGATACTAGAAGAGCCGCAGAGTCACAGCTGGGAAACCTTTATGTCCATGATTCCTTCGCAATTTCACTCACAGCAATCGCCTCCCATGAATCAGTTCCGGTCAACCTACGCCAGTCTGCCCTCTCAGTCTTGCGGACCTTCATTGCCGCCGCCTGGTCCCCGATTCTCGACGAATTTAAAGGACAAATCCTCATCAACGATGCAAACAAAGCCAACGTCCGCCAGGCGCTATTGATACTCGCGACAAACGATACCCCCGAGCGCAAGGTGAAGAACTCTGCAAGTTTCGCTGTCAGCAAGATTGCCAGTGCCGACTTCCCGGACGACTGGCCCGAGCTGCTCCCTTCATTGCTCCGTATAATCAACGACTCCGCCAGCACCGATGGCCAGATGCACGGTGCGCTGAAGGTTCTCTTGGATCTTGTCGATACAGGGTTCAGTGAGGAACAGTTTTTCAATGTCGCCCGCGATCTTGTTTCGTCCCTTTTCGCTGTGGCTACCGCCGAGTCCAGACGGCCAATGCTGCGCGCTCTGGCTGTCGCGGTCTTCCGTTCCTGTTTTGATACCCTGGAAATGGTCTTGGAACAACACAAGACGGCCATTCAGCAGTTCATGGATGAAGTGCTTAGTGGATGGTCGCCGTTCTTCGACACAGCTTTAAAGGCACCCTTGCCGCAGCCACCTAGCGAGGAAGAAGAGCACAAACAAGGGGAGATTGCCTCGCAGTGGAGAGGAATTGTTGGATTAAAGTTGCAAATTGTCAAGGTATGTGGTCCTTCATCTTGGTTTTGCCGGGCTTTTGCTGACATGATTTTTGGTCGTAGACTCTTATGAAAATCCGCATGGTGTTCCCTTCTCTTTTGACCGCACAAAGCCCGCTTTTCTTTTCAACAGTCTGGGCAGAACTCACCAACGCATTACCAATCTACCAGAACTTCTACATTGAGGAAGAGAGGCAGGGTCGTTTGGAGGATGCGGACGGACTTCCCCACTCACTTGATTTCCTCGTTTTGGAGGAGCTCGATATTATCCAGGCTCTCTTGAAGGCACCTCCGGTAAAGGCAGAGCTGCAGCAACAACTCCAAAATGCTGGTGCGACTGCCAGCACGTCTAGCTGGCTTCCAGAAATTATGAAGCTCGCTAGTTCCTATGCACAGATTACAACCGAGGAGGAGGCTCTATGGGAGATCGACGTGAACCTTTTCCTCTCGGAGGAGACTTCTGTCACGGCCAACTACACTCCTCGAACTTGCAGCGGAGATCTAGCCGTCAAGGCTGGTGAATGGCTGAAGGGTACAGCTGCCGAGGGTCTCCTGGGTTACATGAACACCATATTTGCTGACTCGTCTGTTTCGTGAGTATCGTTCTATATCTTGGCTGTGGAATTACACTGACCACGACGCAAATAGATGGAAGCCACGGGAAGCCTCTCTGTACATTCTCAACTGCTTGCTTCGAGACTTTGGCGAAGTGGACCAAGAGATCTCATCTGAGCTGGCATCCCACTTCACCCAGTTCGTGCAATATGCGACCCAGCAAGAACAGGAGCTCTTGCGCGCTCGGGGTTACCTTGTGGCTGGTGCCTTGTCTAAGGTTGCCGGCGAGTCATTCCAACAGACCACATCATCTTATTTGGAGGCTACTTTGAAGGCGATCGCTGAAGACCCTGCCGAGGTGGTCCAAGTGGCCTGCATTCGGGTGCTACAAGATCTGATGCCCGCCTTGCCAACGGGTTTGGCCCGCCCATTCCAGCCTGCAGTGATTGCGGCCATTTCAGAATTCATCTCTGCACACGACCTTCGTGAACAAACTGACTCTGATGATCTCAAGGTTACACTGGCGGAAACCCTCCGAGACACTATTATGGCCGATACTAGTGTGGTTCTATCATCTACTGCCATTGACGTGTTGTTCAACATTGCTAGTAGTGGAGCCGAAAACTTCCAGTTGACCATGACTGTCACAGAAGCATTTGAAGATATTGTGGACCGCATTACGGACAATGGTCCTGATTCTTACATGAGTCTATGTGAGAAGGTGCTCCCCTCATTGATGGGCGCGATTGATGTGGGCAACCTGACTGAAGAGAATGCTTTGACAAACTTCGCAGCCGATCTTCTTCGTGCTCTGGCCGAGCGGAGTCCCGAGCCGATGCCCGCTGGTTTCGTGGAGACGGTGATGCCCAAGTTGAACCGCCTGCTGCTGGGCTCTGATGAGGCCGAATTGATCCGCCCCGCCACGGAGGCCGTGCGACACATGCTCTCTCACGACTTTGCGCAGTTCGTTGTCTGGCGTGATCCTCAATCTGGAAAGGAAGCACTTGAAGTCGTTTTGGTCATCATTGACCGCCTGCTGGGCCCGGCCGTGGATGACAACGCAGCCACAGAGGTCGGTCAGCTAGCGGCAGAGTTGGTTGAACGGGCCGGCTCCGAGCGCCTCGGTCCCTACCTACCCCAGCTGCTGCAAGCCGTGGCGCAGCGACTGGCGACAGCACAGCAAGCGCAATTCATCCAAAGTCTCATACTCGTATTCGCACGACTCACTCTCATCAGCGCACGCGAGGTAGTCGACTTCCTGGCCCAAGTCAATCTGGGCGGCCAGAGCGGACTCGCTGTGGTCCTGAGCAAGTGGCTTGAGAACTCCGTCAACTTCGCCGGCTATGACGAGATCAAACAGAACATCTTCGCCCTGGCACGACTATACGAGCTCGCCGACCCACGTGTGGCCGAGGTGCCTGTCAAAGGTGACCTCATTATCCAGGACACCGGCCGAATCAAGACCCGCTCGCAGGCGCGCCAGAACCCAGACCAATTCACGACCGTGCCCGCACCCCTGAAGATCGTCAAGGTTCTGGTCGAAGAGCTGGGTGCAGCTTCTGGCAACAAGGAGATCGATGCCGCCACTGCGGCAGCCCTGGATGATGCTGACAGCGACGACGGCGATGACGACTGGGAGGATATCCCCAGCCAGGTCCTGGACCTCGGTATTGGAGCCACGAAACAGGGGCTGATGAACTTCGGCGAGGGCGGCTCCGAGAGTGTCTTCGGAGTGCGTCGCCGAGACGATGAAACGCAGGGCTTCCTCGTAGATTTCTTCCGACAGGCCTCCACACAACCTGGTTTCCAAGAATTGTATGCGGCACTGACTCCGGATGAGCAAGCTAAGCTGCAAGGTCTGTGAGTGGAGCTGGGTGAAATCTTATTCGAGGCTGTTGTTACGAGTACGCCCAGGTTATTAATGGTTTGATGCATGGATGCCAATAAAACATACAAGAACTTACGTCTGTCGCTTGTACAGAGTGAACACACTTTTTTCTTTTCCTTTCTTTTTTCCTTTCTCGCTACCTGTTTAGTACCGTACGTAGAATGAGCATCCTTGTACCTAGTAGGGGATCCTGGCAGCTTCTGGCCTGGACCGAATTGGGGCTGTCCACGGATGCGACTTTTTTGTTTGCACCTCCCTGTACGGAGTACTCCGGACTCCGTACGCCATGTGTGCATCTGCAACCTTATGTTTCTTTGTTGGATTAACTTTACGCTAGAGGCCAAGCTAGCCATTTGAAGCCTTACGGCTCTGACAAGAGATAATTATCGGTAATTGGGAGTGGTATAAGTACATACTTATATAGTGACTCGGTCTCCAATATTTTATGTGATCTACAACATGGCTCAAAACAATCTTAGAAGTACCTAATTCCGCACACATAGAAAGGTGAAGCAACGAGTCAAGTCAGGACACCCCTGTTTCTGCAGACGCCCCCCATTCCTTCCAGTCGGAACCCCTCAGGGCTTACCCGCCCCATGTGGGGATGTACCAAACAGTCGGGTCCAAGGACCAGGGATAATCCTTGCTTGGAGTTTTGCCTTTTTTTTCCTGCTTTCTTCCAAGGTTTTTCTTTGCTTCTTCTGGCGCCTTTTTCTTTTTCTTTTTCTTTTTTTTTTCCATTTTCTTTTTCGTTATTCCCTTTCATATCTCCGCGGTACCCAGTTGGGTTAGGCTTTATCTCATCTGGCTTGGGCACACCTACAGTGCTCGTTCTCTTGGCTTCCTATTCTGTGTTAGTGCTCACCTTGTACCGCTTCGTCGTCCCGAGCACGCCATTTCCTCGAGGGCTCCACCTGGGCAGGACAATGAACCCCGAACCCCGAATCCCGGGGCCATGAGGGTGGCTTTATTAACCAACCTCAATCTACCTAGGTAGGTACAGGTACCTAAAACGCACCACGATAGTCCCTCCATTGTTGGACAGTCTCGGGCACTTTTACCTCCCCTCAATGAAAGGTTACCCAGCTATATAGCATCATCGTAATCAATGTGGCAACTGATCTTGATAAGCATTCATCAAAACAGCGACCAGGATGTATAAAGATTTGAATAAAGGCGTTTCATTATTATCCAATCAACATCCCGAGATCTCCAGGTTACCAATCGAACTCCTTGTGAGGTTATTTGTCGCACTAAACCGAGTTAGACCTCCAGGCTTGGGTATCTGGTTGTTTCCACCCCTAGACATCTCTCCAATCAACGGCCATAGTTCGGATACTTTGAAATCCTGCACTGACACGAATACCTTATGGCGATGTTGTGAAATGCAGATGTAGCTTCAAATATGGAAACGGAAAAAAGGCATACCCATGGGCAGACTTGGCCAACGGTGCGGACCGAGTGGACCGACCCGTTCGCTTGAGCCTATTTATTCCATGGATCTCGCAACGCGGGGTAACCTTGGAACATCCCTAAGCGTTTCGCTGGAAGGAACGACTCAGTTTCTGCGTCGCTCCTTTTGGCAGCCTTCCATCACAATCTAGATGGGTAAATCTGAGAAGCCATATTCATTGAAGACGCTGACGCTCTTAGCCTCAGCAATAGCCTTGTCCATGAACTTGTTGACAAATTCGTAGATAGTCTTGCCATCAAACTCGTTCTTCCGCCAGCAGGAAATGTGCAAAAGGTGAACTGGGCCGGGAGAAGCAGTGAGTCCGAAAGGGTTGTCACCTTGGTTTTTTTTTCATATTGTTCAACATGGGCTCGGTGATGCCTGGTAGATGAGTACGGGCTGGCCACCCGCAACATCGGCTACCTCGGGGACCATCGAGTAGAAGAGACCCACCACCCTGTTACCAAATTCCTCAATAAAGGTCGGGCTGGAGGGTCGCAAAGACCGTACAGATATGCTTGATCAAACTCTGATTTTGCTTTTCTGGTCGGTCAGTCCTTTAGTTCAATCGATTCATTTAATCGACATCAGGACCTGGACTCCCTCGCTCTAGGAAGGCTCCGTCCACCTTTCTTTCAGGAAATTCCACAAGATAGTTACATACTCTCTCAATTCGGTCCCTGTCACGTCGAGTGCATACGGTTCAAGATGGGCCACTACCGCTGCGGGGATGCAGGGAAGGGCAAGAGCCACTCTAATGACGTTCTATGGGGATCTTTTATTAAAGGTTTATCGGGCAAAGTCTCGATTGAAGTTCTGTCTGTCTTCCTGTTATAGAAAATACACAATGTGGCCCAACTTTACACCGAACGCTACCAGAGGAGAACTATAAATGGCTAATCACACATTCATACATAAGATAAGTAGTGGTAGGTTGTCTAAAATTATAGTCCAGAACTTGGCTTTCTCTGTAGACTCTCTCTAGATGGGTTCATGTTTCGGAATAATCCCTGTAGAGGGACTCCGTGGGGCTATCTATAGCTTGGCTAATATATTTGAAGGCCTGTGATTTGAGGATTGAAGGTAGAATATGATCGGTCGGGACAGGTGATGATCCTCGAGACGATACCTGATGTTTACAGGATGGGATCGTCTCCCATGGATGATCAGCGGTCAGTCCTACTCTAACATATAAGTCCATGCTAATTAAAGTCAAGAATACAAAATCCTTCTTGCCAAGACACCTAGTTGTAGGTATAGAGTGCTCAAGTGGTCTAGTAGTTCCTACCTAGTTAGTCCTAGCCAAGATGCCCTAAAGACTATCGAAAATCCAAATCCCTGTAAATCCACACAGAAACCCAGACCGATTTGGAATGGGTTCCAAGGTTTTCCCGTACCAGGCTGTCGGAATTCCCACTGCGGGGTCAACAAAACCAAAGGTACGGAACCGGCCAGGTGGTACTCCGAAGAAGAGGGAAAAACCTTGGAAAAAAAAAATAAATGACGCTAGGGTGCCTCCCGGGTTCCTTACCCTCGGGTTTCTTAGGTCTTGTGGAATCGATAGCTTCATTTCATTCCCCTCTTCTACTTCTTCACAGGGGAGAAAATAAAAATTTCCCTCTTTCCTCTCTCTTCCCCCCAACCTTTCTACCTCCCTCCCTTCTCACCATGTCACAACCCAACCTCGACGAACGCATCCAGGTCGACGTAAGTAGATCATTCCCTTCCACTTCTTCGCTCCCATTCCTACCCCATATCCATGTTCCAGCACCCCAAAACAGGTCGCCCTCCTTGTTGATCTCCAGCCCCAATTCTCCCATCCTTTTTCCTAATTTATAATTCAATGAAAACCCCCCAAGCATCACTAACAACCCCCAGACAAGCGATGACGACTCTCTCTTCGACATCCAAACCATCTCAGGCTCAAACCTTTCATTCGCCTCCTCCGTCCGCGACTACTGCTACGAAAATGGCCGCCGCTACCACGCCTACCGCAACGGCCAATACCCCTTCCCCAACGACGAAGAAGAACAAGACCGCCTAGCACTAACGCACCACCTCTTCAAACTTCTCCTCGGCGGGGATCTTCACCGCGCACCAATACAAGGCTCCAACCCGCGCCGCATTCTCGATATCGGCACCGGCCCCGGCGAATGGGCCCTGGAAATGGCCGAAGATTACCCGCAGGCGGATGTCATCGGCACCGATCTCAGCCCCATCCAGCCGAACTGGTCGCCGCCCAACTGCCGCTTCTATATCGACGATGCGGAGAGTGATTGGACGTTCTCGCCCGGCGAGGCATTCGACTATATCCATTTAAGAACGATGGCCGGCGGAATTGGCGATTGGCCGAAGCTGATTAAGCAGGCGTATCAGCATCTTAAGCCCGGCGGGTGGTTTGAGGCGCAGGAGTTTGAGGATTGTGTGCGTTCCGATGATGGGACCCATGAGCGCGCTACTTCTATCAATAGCTGGGCGGGATTGTTAACCCAGGCTAGTAAGAAGTTTGGGAAACCGATGGATGTTGCGCCGAAGATTTCGCCGTGGATGGATGAGCAGGGGTTTGCGAATGTTACTGATGATATCTATAAGGTATGGTCGCTTTTTTTTTTCGGCTGTTGTTTTTCCCATACTGACTTACTTTCAGAGTCCTATTGGTGGCTGGGCCAAGAACCGCCGCTACAAAGAAATCGGTCGCATCGGCAAGGTATCTATCTTGGAAACCGTTGAGCCGTACTCACTGGCTCTCTTTACCCGTGTCCTGGGCCTCTCATACCAGGATGCGCAGGAGCATATGGAGAGGGCGCGAGCGGATTTGATGAACAGTTCGCACCACCTCTACGTGCGCTTCCACTTTGTCTACGGACAGCGGCCCTTGGACGATTTATCCACTGATTCCGAGGCGTCTTGAGTCTTGGGACTGTACAACGATGATTATGACAATGATACCCCACAACCTGAATCTGAGATTGAGAATACCTCTGTCGACCTCTCATCTCTGTCGACATGAATCATGGCTTGATGACCATATATTTCTGCCCATTAATGTATGGAGGCTTCTATATACTAGACTGTTCGTTTCATTTTGTTCATATTCATGTGGACATGGGTATCGTGAAGCATGAGAGGACAGGAGGATGAGTGCTGCAGTGTGGTGACCCTGTCTCAGACGGTCTCACCATGACTTTTCTTGCCTGGTATCGACCAGCGACCTAGGCGATATTACCCACATCCAACGGGTGGTTGTTCTAGAGACCCAGCTCTGAACCTGACCTGAACCACTCCTTTCCAACGCATTCGTATGTGCACACGACAACAGACCTTGGCCTGCGTCCGCGGCTCGGTTGAGTGTGCGCTTACACCGTTGTCACCCAGTCCCAATCCCGAGAACCTGACAGACCCCCGAAACAGCTTCCTCGGGGGTAGGACTTGTCCGCAAGACCCGAACCACCTGAGGTAGATGTTTCTCGTCGCAGCTGCCAATTGTTTCCAGCAGGATCTCCAGCAGTTCCCGTTTCCCCTCGCCCTTCCAAGAGTTTGGCATTGAGTTCATGATGGTTGTTGGTGAAGGACGGTCCAGGGAACTGGGGCTGGCAGCCCCCGATGGCGGGGTGGGTAAGGAGGAGGGTGCATCTGCATAGGTGTTGATGGCAGTGACGTTGGTGAAGGGGTTGGTAGTTGAATAATGAGACGGGGTTTGGTATATATGTGTATGCGGGAATTGGTACGGACTCGGATTCGGATTCGGATTCCCGTGTGCATCTTGCCCCCCACTGATGATATGCATGAGGCCTCTCATCTTCATTTCGTATTGAATACCCCTCCCATAATGTGTTACTGTTGATGTTGGTATGGGTGCGGGATAGCCAGTGTGTTGTAAGTATGGCAGTGATTTTCCTCCGTCAAGCATATAATCATCGCTATGCCCTCCATGTAGCGGCGGATGATGCATTCCTAACATCGCATCCTGCGCGTGTGACCCGTGCACTGGGAGACCCTGCATCGGTAGCTGGACTGTTCCGGACATGTCCCCTGGGGCGGAGGCCATGCCTCCTGTATAATAACCGAACATCGTCGTATCTTCTAGAGCATCTGCCCAAAGTTAATACTAGCGTCAGAAAGAGGTAAAACAAAATCAAACATACTTCCAAAAGCAAGCGGTTCAACTGTAGTCGACCCATCTAGCTCCGCAAATTGCGGCGCATACCCCGTCGCGACAGGATAAGCCGAAGCAGAAGCCGACCGCGACAAAGTAGACATAGATCCAGCCCCATTCTCACTCCCCGTACTATCAGGGCTAGTAACAGTCGCAGAGTTCGTCATGGTCGTGACCGACGAGGATGGCGACGACCCACGCCAGCTACCTTCACCAGTATCCGGGGTACCTCTAGCCGAAGCAGCGCCAGCGCCAGCGCCGGTCGCGTATCCAGAGCCATTGCCACGGGTTTGACTGTCGTAGTTGTAGACCGTGTGCGTAGGTGCACCTTGTGGCCAAGTCGGGCTCTTCCCTGGGACAGGCCCGGCCCCTTGGTCCAGGCGCGAGCGCTGGCGCTGGGTCTGACTCTGACTCTGGCTATGGCTTGGCTCTTGTGGAGCTTGGTTCAGGCGCCCCCGCAGCTGTGCGACCTCGCGGCGTAGTTGGTCGATTATCTCGGATTGACTGATATGGGCGCGATCTTCGGCCGTTGTTAGGTAGGTGCATTCTGCTTCCAGGCCGCGGATTATGCAGGCGTGGCATGGGATAGAGCGGTCGCACTGGTAAAAAAAAGAGAGGTGGTTAGTGAGTTGGGAAGTAAATAAGGGTGGGAGTGAAGATAGTAGCGTTGGGGTGTCGAGAGATAGAGAGTATCCGTGTACCTTCACTTTGCGCTCGCGACATCTAAGGCACGACTGCTGCGGGCGTATCTTGGTCTTTGACTCTGGGGGCATTACGGCAATACCACTGTACTGTAGTAGTATTGCAGGGTATAATTCCAAGATCAATTCCCCAGAAGACATTCGGGGAAATCGGAAAAGCCGTTGAACCTTTTGGAAATTTAGGCGGGGGGGTTCCACTCAACAAAGTCCGGATTTTTGCATCCCGGTCATCCATGCAGCCCTGGAGGTTCAGCTGTGCCACACATCGACAACCTGAAAATGTGACCGATCGTCCTGCTAGATCCAATTTTTTTTTTCTCCACGGCTCTGGGCTCAAGCTCTGCGGCACTCTGATTGGGTACAGTTCGAAATTGTCTTCTCGTGAAGATCGGCGTTCCTTGCTGATCTTGGAATCAGGTTCAGCGATTCCAAGATCAGCCTACTCCGTACCCTTCGAGGTACTCTTGTCTTGTATGCAAATATATGCTACTTCATTAAAGATGCTATATGTCGATGGTACCGTCGCAATACTTACCACGTCCCCCGCGATCACTGCAGATCCCAGTCTGTTGTAGATGCGACGTCGGTGCGGGGAATCCTTGAAAGTGAGCCAGTGAGGGAAGTGAATGAAGTTGAGCGAAGGTCCTGGATAGCATAAAACGGCCCGGCATGCTGTGCAACATGCGCCTCAGCCGATTACAAGCCTGCGCCATCAAAGCATATTACAATCGTATCTCGTCTTGTCTATACTTTCCTATTGCAAAGACACCATGAAGCCACTCTCGTCCACAAGCTGGGCAGCTCGGGGCATGGCCAGCCTCCTAGTGTTCCCACTGGTACCCGTGGAAGCCTCCAGTGATAACCCAAGCTTAGCCCCAGCACCCCCGATGGGGTTCAACAACTGGGCACGCTTTGAGTGCGATCTGAACGAAACGCTCTTCATCGAAACAGCGCAAGCAATGCGAAAGCGCGGCCTCCTAGACGTAGGCTATGACCGCCTCACGCTGGATGACTGCTGGATGCTCCACGACCGTGCCGATGACGGCTCCCTAGAGTGGGACACCGACAAGTTCCCGCACGGCATCCCCTGGCTCGCCGAGTACATGAAAACTGAAGGCTTTCATCTCGGAATCTACCAGGACTCCGGGAACTTGACCTGCGGCGGGTACACGGGCTCCTACGGGCACGAGGCGCAGGATGCCGAACTATTCGCTAGCTGGGGCATAGACTACCTCAAGCTGGACGGATGCAATGTCTGGGCCGAAGAAGGCCGCTCACTCCGCGAGGAGTACCGCGTCCGCTACGTGCAGTGGCATGATGTGCTGAGTGCCTTGCCAAATCCACTTATCTTCTCCAATTCCGCGCCTGCGTATTTCGAAGGCGTGGCGGCAGACTGGGCGGTCGTCATGGACTGGGTCCCGGAATCCGGCGAGCTGGCGCGTCACTCGGCGGATGTGATTGTCTACTCCAGCAATGGTAGTGCCTGGGATAGCATCATGTATAACTACGACATGCATACGCGTCTAGTGCGCTACCAGCAACCGGGCTACTATAACGATCCGGACTTCCTGATCCCGGACCACCCAAGCCTCTCTCAAAACGAGAAAAAATCCCAGTTTGCGCTCTGGGCTTCCATCGGAGCGCCACTAATTCTCAGCGCCTATGTTCCCGACCTTTCGGACGAGGAGATCGCATTCCTCAGCAACAAGGCCCTCATTGCCGTGAACCAGGACCCGCTGGGGCAGCAGTCTGCTCTTGTTAGTCGCGACGGCACCTTCGACGTCTTGTCCCGCTCACTAGAAAACGGAGACAGACTCCTGACCGTGCTGAACCGTGGAGCTGATGCGGCCACAACGACTGTGTCCCTCGCGCGCCTCGGCCTGATGTCTCAGTCTGGCTGCAAGTATGAAGCACGCGATCTCGTCACCGACAATATCTCAACTATCGACTCTGCTATCGAGATCCAGCTCGATTCTCATGTTGCCAAGGTCTACCGTATTGCGCTGCCTGGAAGCTGTTCTACGGCTACTTCCACCGGGATGGTTTTCAATACTCCATCTGGTCTTTGTATGACTGCTTCTACTGTTTCTATTACCTTTGAGAAATGCAGTGCGTTAGACTCTCAGATATGGCAGGTGACGGCAACAGGCGATGGCACTAAGCTGACTTTGAGTCCTCTGTCGGATACGTCGGTTTGTCTTGCTGCTGATGGGGTTTCACTTGCTAAGTGTCGTGGCACTGGTACTACCTGGGATTATTACATTTCCGGCCATTTGCGCAGTTCGTCTGGGAATTGCTTGACTCAGACCAAGGATAAAGCCAATATCGATGAGTGTGTGATTGACAGTGTTGGGCAGATCTTTGGATTGCCGAGTGGAGTCCACCTGGCCAAGGGGGATTTGACCTAGACTAGGTATAGTTTAGCATGGAAGCCAGCATCCGACACCCGACCTTTCATGGCTGGCGGGTCTATGCCAAGTCTTTTGGGGACTGTGCTAACTGAGTGCCCGTACAGCTTTGTGTTTCAACAACTTGATCTATTGGTAGATAGGTATAAGCATTTGTAGTAGCATATATCAATTTTCCAAAAAAAATTTCGGACACTTAAATTACTGCCGTATCGAGAATTACGTCTCTAGACCCTATGTACCTAGGTAATGGTATACATAATATATCTTAGTCACTAAATCATCGAATTTCTCCAAACTCCCTATAGTGACCAGATACCACATAAAACCCACTAGGCCAAAAAGAGCAGGTCCTATAGAGCACCGTTGTTGAGATATCAAGTTGTAATTTACTATGTGCGTTGGAGATGGCGGCTCTCTTGTAGTGGCGGCTCGCTTGTGAAAGACGTTGAGTCTTCGCAGGGGTTTGATGTATGTTGTACTGTCTTAGTGTCCCGCCTCCAGTGCAGGGTTTTAAAGGCTACTCCGCTAAGACCCAGCTACCTGCAGTCACTGATTTGGAGCCATTGTCGGAGCATATTCTCCCAAATTACACGAAATCTCTATCTAAATTATCCAGGTCTACGAAAAAGAATGAGGTAACTAGTGAGGGTAAACTGAATAGTGACTAAGAACACCGAGTCATACCAACTAAGATGTCGGTCATATCTAGAATACGAGGCTTGTGGTTGTCGCTTATCACGGAAGTGCGTCGGGGCATGACTTGATCGAGCTTCATGCATGAAAGGATGAGCCGTTTCTAAGACAATGGTGAGTCTACGTACGGAGTACTCCGTGGAGCATTCAGAATATCCTTGTAAGTAGGTGGCTTTTTCTGCCAAAGTACCACCCTAATTCTAACAGAAACCTGTTGAAACAAAGAATGACAAGAGTCGTAAGATGGGATGCAGTAAGCAGGACCGGTTTAAATAATCAGATACGTTCCAAGGTTGGTTCTAGAGACGATCAAGACTTCATATTGAAGGGTAATGTAGATTGGGTGCTAAAGTACAAAACTAAATGGGTTAACCCTTTTATCTGGAAAGGTTTCTGCCTTCAGACACCCTAACCGACCATCCCGACCTTTGGCCGGGACACTGTCAACTCTATCCCTCGGGGACTTTGTGGGCCCAGCTTGAACTAAAGTTTGGAAGGCTTGTTTTCTTTGTTCTTTGTTCTTTGGTCTCTGTTTATCGCCACTGGCTTATCAAGTGTAGCACTTCTTTCAATGTCAAGGGCTTGTCGGCGTCGAATATAGCATTTAGGATTACATATAAGAAAAATGGTCACCAATTTCTAGAGCTGGTACGGTGACGGCGTATCAGCCCATACTCAATACATATGTAGGAACAGGAGAAGTGGCTTGGCAAGACTAGTGCCCTGCTGGCTGCATTAGTGTCTTGGAGTAGCCACGACACCCGATAGGGCCTACTATGTAGGTATAAGCACTTACCTAGTAAAAATGTCATAAAGCGGAGCACCTCATCTTCTAGCACCTTTATGCCTGAACAGTGGCATATCTGCCAAGCACACGTAATTTTTATTTAACTTGCTCGTAGAGCACATGTTCGAAGCTGGAGGTTTACGCATGTCCTTTCCAAATCAGGAAGAAACCGAACGAAAAGCAAACATGGGTAAGAGTCGTGAGAAGTCATCTAAATATTTTCAATCGCTAACATGGTACATCAAAAAGACTCCAACGATGCGACATGGGCATGGAACCTCGACACCTTACCGGAGGAGACCACCACCATAGTCTTGGACATATACCCAAAGAACATATCCGACACTTCCACCAAGAGCTCGGCTGAGGGTTATGCTCATGCAGCGACACAGTTCCTACTAGAGCACCTTCCTAAGGGCAACGGCCTATTCAAGTTCCTGCTACCATTGCAGTCTGGATACATAGTCCAATCCGACTTTCTCGAGCGGCGCATGGTCGACTGTCTGGATGTGACCAAACTCCAAGGATTTGTCACGCCAGGGCAACACATCAGAGGGTACACTGCCGAGGTGTACCATGGTATGAGCATCTCGAGCTTGCTTTCGTACTCCTACGGAGCAATTGTGGTCCAAAATGACAGCTCACTCTCTGTTGAAACGATGTCTACGGCAATCAACGATCAATTAGTAAAGCGCCTGTCCTTCCCCTGGCTCTCATCGTCCCCTATACCTCGAAAGCGTCTGGCTCTCGTTGGAGCTTGTTCCTTAACCAAGGCACACGGTTACCTGTTGGCGGCTGCCTCGCTGAATATAGCAATGGTTGTGTTTGATGAACCCAGTCACTGGCTGTCTGGTAATGCATATAGCCATCTTCGCGAAGATTTTGTCCCGCTGGACATGGCTATAGATATGGACATGGCACACCGCATTGCAGCGGCGTTGAAGAGATACCAAAACAGCATGGAAGAGAAACCCATTGATGGTGTTATGAGTCTCGATGAGCGCTTTCATACGATCATAGCTCACGTAGCCACACAATTGGATTTCAAAACCTCGCCTCCAGAGTCTGTGGGCTTGGTCCAGAACAAGTTCAAAGCGCGCCAACTTGACACAAACGTCTTTTGCAGACTCGTCCGCTCTCCGGAGGATCTAGAGAAGATGCTCGCCAAGGACGGACCACAGCTTGCCTACCCTCTTATTATCAAACCTGCTAAGGGTTGGTGTTCTGAGGGTGTCTGGAAAGTAGCCAATGAGCAGGAACTGCGTGAGAAGGTGCATTTGCTATGGCGGGAGTCTTTCGCCGCGTGGCACGGTAACGAAGTTGTTATCGAGACGTACGTCGAGGGCCCCGAGATCGACGCAAATATAGTCCTTGTCGATGGCGAGATTGTTGTCTTCGAAGCCAATGACGACTTTCCTTGTACTGGGGACTATAACGACGAAAGCCTTGCCCGCGTACAAAATTTTGTCGAGACGTCAAACATGCTACCATCATCTCTCCCTCCGTATGAGCTTCAGTCGGTCCAGCAAAGACTGCATGAGCTTGCCTTAGCCGCCGGTTTCAGAAATGCAATCCTGCATATTGAGGCCAAGCTGCGTAACTCGAGCTGCCACTATGCCAAGACGGATTCCGATGGACTTGTCGACTTGGAGCTTAAAACACCAGCAACTACGACAACACATCCAGAGGATGTCTTCCTCATCGAAATTAATCCCCGCGCACCAGGCTGGCAAGAGGTCGAAGCTACCGCACGTACATATGGTGTATGTTACTACAGTATCTCCCTTCTAAACGCCTTGGCCGATAAAGAGCGCATCGTGTCCTTGTCCAACCCCTTCCTGGGTGGGCCTCAATACCATATGCAACTGTTGTATGTCTCAGCTCAGAAAGGGGGCATCTATAAGTTTGGCGACATTTGCAAAAAAGTGTTGCAAGCTCCCGGTCAAAAACATCAGCTTAGTGCTCATGTTGTCAAATCCGCCAATCTCCTAGAGGACGGTGAGGAAGTTCCTGACCCTAGTACGGGACAAGTATATGGCACTTTTATTGCCATTTTCTTGGTTATTTCACGGACGAGCCGCAAGGAAGCAATGCGCATTGGACATGAGATCGAACGTCTGGTTAGAGAGTATACGGGTGGGTTCTGAGGTTTCTCTTTTTTACGACGAGTAAAAGGAACCAAAATCATCATCGACGGGACATACTACATAGGATATCTTCATGGCAGTGACTAGAAGGCCTGAGGGCTTCAATAGCCAATAGCTCCGACACATCATATTTATGACAATGGGTTGTATGCAAAATTAATATAGATCAGGATCCATGTGCTGTTGAAATAACTGCCCCGTGAACTTCATGAATTTTTGGCAAAGTATTCATGCCCTCCTGCTGGCTTAGAAAAACTGCTCATAGTACTTTGTATTCTAAGTAAAGCGTACGCTATTCTATGGGATGCGAAGCTACCTGGGTGGCATATTGGTAAGTCAGAACTTTCAATTACCAGTCTCCGTGTATACAATTCTCTTGGACCAACAGTAGGTACTAGTTCACCTTATTTCCTATCATTTGACAGACTCGTACGAAGCGCAGATATGTACAGTACAATCAACATCAATATTCACAATTTTCCAAAGCAACCTTGAAAAGTCTACCCTGCAAAGAGAATCCAACCCCCTCCCCAGTCCCCATCTCAACAAGATTAGCTCTCATTCTCTCAGGCCTCTCGCCAAGCCCAAAGGCAGCATCCTCACGATGAACCCAAGCGCCAACACCATGCTGCAGCACCGCAGTAGCCCTAACCTTCTTCTTCTCCTCGACATCATCACCTGCTTCCCCAGAAGCCTTCAACCCAATACTTCCATGCAAAGTCAACCTGGTCTCAGCCCCACCCTCACTCTTCCCCCGGTAAACCCCACGATGCAAAATATTACTATTATAGAACACCGCGTCTCCAGGTTGCAATTCAACAATCAGCTGATTCGGCAATTCAGCCGCATAAGGATCCGCCTCACGCTCGACCTGCGTGCGCGCACGCGCATGCGTCCCCGGCACAACAATCAGCGATGCATCCGGGCACAGCGCCAAGTTATACTGGCAATGCGACTGACGGCCTCCAGGCGCCTTAGCCGCAAGCTGGGTGAGTTCTTCCTCGGCAGTGGCGTGCTCCGAGATATCGTCGCGGTGCCAGCGGAGCTCGAAATCTTTAGTTTCCGGCGCCACAAGCAGGTTGAACAGTTCCATGACCAGTGGCTCGGTCTCGCTGTTGGCGGTGTTCTCAACACCCATTAGCTCCTCCGCTACGGCGAGAATCGTGGGAGAGAAGTAGCATCGTGCGAAACTGTCCCGTCCTGGCATCTCGGGGTGCATTAGGTGCTGCACGCCCCAGATTCCGCCCTCCGAGGCGGGCGGGACGGTCGTTGGCCAGGGTGGGAATTGTTTCGGGACGGTACGGAAGTGTGGCCAGCTTCCGGTGCGGGTTAGGGTTGTTGCTTTTGTGGCAATTTCGCGGTAGTGCGATACCTCGGTTGGGGTTAGGAGGTTGCGGACTACTACGAAGCCATCGCGTTTGAGGGCGTCTAGGTGTGGGGTGGACATTTTGGTAGAGAAATGGTAGAAGAGTATGTAAGCAATTAGATGTTGACCTCGGGAGTATCTGGAGATCTAGGGAATATCTGGAGATCTGGTGAAATTTATATTGCGGGGTTGAAACTAACAACAATACGACGCAATGTCGCATTTACCTGCTTCCCTAGAAATTCCCGTCGATGCTACTGTGGATCTCCAGATGTGACCTTTCGGGACTGTTATTTTACATCAGACTACATGTATGTAAATGTATGTATTTATATGTATTTTATGGACATATGTTCGAGTGTCCTGGTCCTACCTAGGTAAATAATAAGCCAAACATAACAAACCCATTCTAGGCAAATTGATTTCCCAACGTCATGGGGCTCACCCAATGCCAAGAACAGCCAAGAGCCCAGAGGGCTGAGTCGTCTGCAGTTTTGAGATGACACTTGATCTTCCTTCCCTGGAACCCTTTTTTCCTTACTTCTCTAGCTTCTGTCCTTTGGGGATATTCCATCCTATTTCCTCAAATACCCAGAGAAATACCATTGCGCATATCTCACCCCCACCATGCCCCTCCTCCACGCGGGCTCCGCCCTGCTAGTTCTGCTCCTGATACTCCCGCAAGTACATGCCTTCGGAGCTGGAAATATCGCCTCTATCTCCGCCGTCGAAGGCAAGAACTGGCGCCATGGTGATATCGAAGATGTCATCAAGACGCTGGCTTTCATCTCCGGCCACAAATGGACCTCCACCATGATCAAGCGTGTGTATTTCGGCAACTGGTTGCGCGATTAGTGAGTTACCAAAGAATCGAAAGACCGACAGGTTCTGACTGCTTCTGTAGCTCACAGGCAATGGACGTTGGCACTCTTAAAAATCTGCAGGCCGACACGATCCGTGTTTTGGTGTGGGTCCTCTCGTTCCTGAGCTTCGGCTATGCCACGGGGGAATTTGAGGTGACTTCAGATCGCTTGGGTGTCTACCGTCCCGAGGAACATATCGAGTAAGTCCAGCTTGAGATCTGTTCTTGGTCATTTGTGCTGATCGTCCTCTTTCTCGCAGTAACCCTAAGGACTATGCCGATAACGAAGATGCACGCCAATATGACAAGCGGTTGCGCCCACCCGTTCGTGCTGTTGAACTCGAAATCGACCCGAGCACCGGTATGAAGAACTACATCGCCAATGAGCGAGGCGACTGGGCCACCAGCGCTGCCTATATCAAGTTCAGTCTCAGCCGCAGTATCCACTACGGCCGGACCTACACCAATGGCGGACACAAGAAAGGCAACGAGGAGGATCTGTGCGAAGCACTCCGATGTCTCAGGCCAGGGACTACACACGCTGGAGGATTTCGCCGCACACACCAACTATGTTGAGTTGGCGTTGCGCGAAATGGGTTTCAAGAACGTGTTCACGCATACGGGCACTGCCACCGAGATCAACCTTCAAGGGCGTCGTGTCTTCCCACTTGTCACGGGAACATTTGGTATGGTCGATTTCTTCCATTCCGTGATGGGAGAGGCAGATGATCACTTCACTCAATCTGAGGTCAACGAGATGGATATTGCGCTCGGTAATGCCGAACAGAATGCGCAGTCGAACAACTCCCTTAATGCCTTGACTGGGCTCTTGGGCAAGATCCCCAGGTACCAAGGACCTCGTCAGCGAGGCTGAGGGTCTCAAGAGGTCATCGGCGGCACAAGGAATGGCCAACCAGAGCCGTAGTGCTGAGACCGGCTATGCGCAGTCTTCTTTTAATGGGCACGAGCGGACCCGTGCAGGGCCAACTCAGTCTTCAGGTAGCGGCATGCCTGATCTCAACCCTCAGGAGACAGTAGCCAAGATTTATCCCATTTTGGCCTTCCGGGATAAGGTGATGCGGAAATTGAACTCGGTTATTGAAAAGATCCCAGGCTTAGAGTCACTCGTCGAGAAGATCTCCGAGACTCTGACCGTCTTCATCATGTCGCTCCTATCGCCTTTTATCCGACCTTTGATCAAAGCCGCTTCTAAGTCCATGCAAACTGGATCAGCTGGTGTTATTGATGCCTCTGGCAAGCACCAGTACGAACCATGGACTGATCCTCACTGCACGGACCCCACCCACTCGTTGCTCTCCAAGGACCATTTTGCCAACATTCTGAATGAGCCCGCCGGACGGGTCGCCTCTTCAATCGTGGAGTACGTTGTGCCTCGTGTTCTGTACGCTTGGCAACACATCGATGTCCCCGAGCACGAGGTCCTTAATGACTGCATGCAAGTTTTCCACCACCCAGCATTGCGCAACATGCGTAATGATGCCCATCGTGCAATGTTCGAGGCCGTTGAGAAATGGGCTCACGGCCGCTCAGATCGCGGCGCTTCCCTTGACTCCATCCTCAGCTCCGAGGGCGTGAGATCTGGTCGTAACACTGGTGGAGTGAGCCACACTCACACGGGTGGCCATGGTGGATTTGCGGCATTGGGTGGTGCCTCGCACGGCCAAAGCCAGGGTCACAACCAAAGCCACAGCCACGGACACAGTAACACTGGCGGGCATTCATCTGGTGGATTCTCCTCCTTCCTCCCCCAACAAAATCAGCACCAAAACCAATCAAACAACAGCTCGTCTGGCATGCCCTGGGACAAACTCTCTAGCATCCCCGGCTTGTCTAACCTGGGCAAACTCGAAAGCAAAATCTCCAACTTCCTCCCTGGTGGATTGACACGCGATGTGAACGACCAAGGAACCCAACAGAACCAGCACAGCTCATACCAGAGTCACCAGCCAGGGGATAGTCACGAGACCTCGTATCCTCCTCCACAGCAGCATGGAGGCTACCACCAGCCTCAGCACGTACCTCAACAAAGTCACGGCTACCAGCATAATCAACATCATGAACAGCATTATGGCGGCTCGCAGAATTCTTCCTACTATGGACAGCAAAATGACCACTTCGGCCGTCCGCAGTCGCACGTCCCTCACAATGCCCCGCCATATGGTTCGCATCCGGGTCCACATGATGGATATGGATACAGCCAGGAACATGGGCATGGGCATGGGCATGGTCGTCCAGGTTTCTGAGAATTGGATGATGAAACGAAGGTAAATGATTGGGTTGAATATGTGAAAATCAAATGCAGATAAGATGGAAGCGAGATAATTGCGATTGTATTTTAACGAAATCGGATGGTTCCAAGTTTGTATCGGTTTATAAGACGGTGGAGTTTGGAAAGACGATAAAGGTAGGAGCTTCGGGGAACTCAGAAGTTGTACATAGTACTTCCTTTTATAAAAGCACATGTGAAACTCCTGACAATTGAGTCAAGGGTTTTCTTTGGATGTGGGCTGCTAAGATTGCCCGGGTATCTCTTAGTCTTAGGAAAGCCCATTGCTGATGTGGTTCACTTGGGATCCTTCCCAATCAAGACCACTGTTTACTTGGTTCCTTCCCTGAGATGCTGTCTCACTATGGTCTGGTATACAATGTCTTTGCTCGTTTCAATGAGGCAGGTTCAAATCGGTAAGAGATATATCGGAAAGAGCCATTGGGAGGCCGACAAAACAGAGAAGCACCTGGGAACACATATCATGTTCAGCAGCACTGTTGGAAGAAATGGGTGTCTCTTCATGGCTATTAACATGAGTGGCAATGCTTGAGTATTCCCCTTTTTGGCTCTCCGGCATGTTTATATTGACTGTCTTATGGCTATTAGCTCTTCTACGACTATATCCTTGTCCGATACTCCTGTCCCTTTCTCTCTGATTAGGTAGTCATCTATGAAGGATTAGGATTCTTACATTTTCCGCGAGGCTTTGTTGGATATTCCGGGCCTCGTTCAACAAAGGGCAGCATGATGTCTTTGGCAACAAAAAAATAGCGTCCATTCACTATCTGACCAAAAATAAAAAACTTTCAATGTCTTTGATTTCTTTCATGTCTAATAAAGGCATTATCTCTCGGGTCCAGTGCTCCAGACTCTCTAGGGCTATATAAAGCCTTCCCTCTTCGCATGAATAACAGGAATTCACCGACATTGGTATATTCTACACTGCCCCAGAGCCAAACATCCACATCCAATCCCAGACCCTACTACGACCCAATCGTGTAAGTCTTGCAGTCCCATATATCACCATGTCATCTGACGAGCTTGAGCGGTGGGCACAGGTCGCAGAAATCGCCGGCGGACCAGTCGAAGATCTGCAGATCACTCCCCAGGCATCTATACAGTGCCATGTTGGCCGACAGCTCTCCTTTTCCTGGCCACAGACAGTGATTACCGAGTGGATCAACGAGAACCACCTTATCTGGACCCTATGCGCCGCCCTCGCAGATTCCGGCCTCGACCGAGAGTGGACACAGGGTTTTGACCTCTACTTCCGCAGCCAGTGGGTTCAGATCCAGTCGACTGTGCAGCAGACCCAGGGTGTTGACCGGTTCCTGCTAGATATCTCAGCCCCGCCTATGTCTATGGCTGTGTTCGCCCACAACACTGGGCCTACGATCCGCTACCACTCCATCATGTCCACCCATGCTGGTACTCGTCCCGGCGGAGGCCTTCTGTATCTGTTACGGCATCTGTATCACGGACGTGTTTCCCCGACTGATGTCTTTGTTGTAGTTCTCTATGACGGAGATGTGACTGGAGGCGCGCGGCAGCTGCCTCCGTCCTCCGATTCTGACTTAGCTGATCTTTTCCCTGAGCGCTATTCCACTCCGCCTCCTCCTTACCGTGGCACTTCTCCTGCTCCTCCTGATTATGCACCACCATCCTGATGATGGCGTGTAGCAGGTGCCCTCCTTGTCTGAGGGTTGAACCTTACATGGAGACCGTCGGTTACTAACAGTTCTACTATCAGGTTATCAGATGAGATCGGCGTTTACACCCTACTTAGAATATTTTCCTTGGCTATATATCTCCTTTATATGGATGAATACAGTTGGTTTTTGTCAATTCTCTGTGCGTAAGATAGTTGTAGCCCTGGCCATGGTGGCGAGATTAGATAGCTGAGGAAAAGGATACCTCTTTTCGGTAGCTTATATGAAAGCGTTGGTTTAGAACATAGTAGATATTTACGTATAAAAAGGCGCATGGGCTAAATTTGGGTACCTAGGCTGTTAGGGCAAGTAACACGAAGCACAATCTACATAGCTTTGAGTTCAGCTGTAGTTTACTAAGTCTCTGTTCACTAGAAATATTTAAGGCAAGACACTAATTATAGTGAATGTCTGTTCTAATATCAGAAATAATACAGGGCTGTGTAGACTGGCCGCCTGATACCAAAAATAGCAAATATCGGGAGCCAATAACCGCGTGTAGGTTTAGCGGTGAAAGTATCTACAATAAGCACAGATCGAGAGTCAGTGGAAGGCCTTATTTTCTGGATCGTATCGCCTTTTTGACGTGTAAGGCTGTGTACTTTGTTTCAACAGTAATAGATCATCATTCGATAACCTGGGGATCCAAATAGGTTTGCCCAGCTGGGTTGCAATAACTTCAACGTAACTCTACGTCAGCATTCATCATGATCTTCATCTTACGTGTCTATTTCTCGTGTCCATGTCTCAGTTGAACTTTTCAACAAGTATATGTACAAGAAACATGAAGTATAAGAGGGTCGCCAACACCCTCGGTATACACTCCAACAGCAGCAAAGAATCCAACAGCAATCCCAAAGAAACAGAGCAACAAACATTAATCCAGCAAAATGAAGACCATGTCGATTTCCGCTCTCGTCCTGGCGACTGCCACCTCCATCCTCGCTGCACCCAGCCCCAAGGTGTCCGCCCTAGAGCCGCTGCAACTTACAAATCTCAACGCCGCTATCCCCAGCACGACCCCTCCACAAACCTGCCTTCTCTCTTTTGCTCTCAAAGACCCAAACACAAACACAGACACCAAATGCTCTGCTTACTGGTATGTTTCAATCTATGGGTTTAGGATACCCTATCAGCCCAAAGCAAAAGACATGGATGATATTGACTTTTATACAGGTCAATTGGAATGCCTGGGAACAAGACGTACAACTGCTCTGACAAGGCATACCGGCTCCACCTCCCAAATGGAATCTATGATATCGAAAAGTTCGATTTGGGAGTCTCCCGCGCAGACGGCTCTGAGACTGGGCGGGCCACTGTGAGTGGCGACTCGTGGAAATGCGAGAAGCAGGAGTATCCTATGGCGCGATGCAACTGGGATGGTATTTTCAGCCTCGATGTAGCCCCGTCTACTTGAGTGAGGGTTCGTGGCTATGTAAGGAGAGAAGGGAGTATCGGGCATTGGAGCTGGGCTAAGTGTGTAGATACGTGGACATGCTATTTGCTTCGGTTTTGTTGGTCTAATTTGGACAAATTGTTATTTATCTCTCGTCTTTTTGCCTTTATATATACTTCGATTTGTTCTGATTTCCCATCTGAGACACTTGTGTAGCTGATATAAGATCTAGCAACATGCTCCACAGGAGGGATCTGGACTATCTGTAAGAGGTAAAACGCAAATGAAATAAATGAAAAACGTATCCAGGAAAGTTGAATACTACATATGTTATGTATCATTAACACTCTCCATACATCGTACCTGGGTAGGTACAGCCCTGGAGTAGCCCTCGGGCAAAAAGCCCGCTGACTCATCTACCCACTTCCCGGGCGGTCTCGGCGCAACACACCTAAAAAGGTCTTGGCCTCAAAATCCCGTCAATCTCAATGGTTGCAGGCCAGTGGACTCTTCTACGCATCGTCCTCATAGGCTCAACCCCTGAAAAGCTTGATGATTCAGCGACCTTCCCCCCATCATGGCCCATAAGGCTCTTTGACATCTGTAAGCAATATTACGATATTGCTTTATGGACGATTCTACTGGCCCACGGGCCGCAAAGGGCGGAGCGCTTGCGATCTATGTCGACACCGAAAGGTAATATCCACACTGCCCGTGTGACAGCCCCTAATCTGATTTTGCCAATAGATCCGCTGTGATAGAAACCAACCCGCCTGTGAGAATTGCCATATTGCAGGGTTACCATGTACATTCACCCAACCTGTATCCCAGCCTCGGAAAAGTACCAGACAGTAAGACTCTATACTATTAAGCCCCTCTTTACCAAGTGCTTACGGGGTATATAGAGAGCTTGCCGATACCAAAGCTCGGGTCCGGGAATTAGAGGCGACCCTCCTCGGACTTAAAGAATCCACAAAAAAGAATCAGAAAGGGCTAGCTATCCATTCTCCGAGCAGAAGCTCTTCTCCAGCATCGCCTAGACCCGTATCGGAAGCATTCTTATCTTATTTGCCCGACACTCGTGATTTCGATACCGCGTTGGCAGCTTTCCAATGGCACATCTCCTATTGTGGGCTCGGGAGTTCCCTTTCGACGCAAAGGGCAGCTTTTTACTCTCTCATTCAAAAGCAAACGGGTTGTACATTCGATGTGGATTCCTTTGCTCATGAGGTCACGCAATCTTTCAATACACGACAGCTCAAGTCAACAAAGAAAGTGATTGGAATCAAATGGCCAGGGTCTGCTCTAGTCCAACAGTGTTTGGAATATTTTGATAGAAATGGCCTCTATTCTATATTTCCAATTATCGATGTTGAGGCCGTGCAGATCCTGCTCAATGCAAATGTCTTAGACAAGCCTCCACACATGAGTCGTGCTGCGAATCGGGCTTGTCTGGTTGCTTTTGCGGCAATGATCACCCATATCCACCGCCATGAGCGAGCTTTCGCCAGCGCCGACCCGGATGCTTATTTACAAGCAGCGCTAACGCTCCTTCCTGAAATGTTACTGGAGCCTCCTGATTTAAGAACCTTGGAAGCGGTGACAATATTAGTAAGTTCTTCGCGTGTCTACCTGGGCAGCTCCAAATGTGGATCCCATGTCTCAGAAGCTTATATGTGGCCATAGATGCTCTATATCTGCCCTCTTGGCAGACCTCAGGCAGGAGAACTACTTCTTGGAATCGCAGTGCAGCTCATCTATAACCTCGGGGCAAACAGAATACAAACCCCCAATGAGATACACAGGACAGATCAGCGTAGCCAACACCTCCGAGCTTTGTTCTGGCATTGCTATGCCGTCGACAAAGAATTCTCTATCCGAAAATCACAACCACCCTTGATAAACGACGCCGACTGCGATCTAGATCTGCCTACAACATACGCCCAGGAAACCTCAGAACGCCACTTCTACATGAAGCCCTTGTCATCCAAGGAGCTTCTTTTCCCTCCGACCTCCGCTTTTCCTTGCTCAAGTCCAAGATCTTCCGATTGCTTTATTCAGCGCACAGTCAGACGCTACCAGAAGCTAGACGCATTCAATATATCCGTGAATTAGACCAGGAACTGAGTGATTTGAACCTGGGGTATCCCGCCGACTGCCGGCCGGAGGTGTTCGCCACCGAGAGCGCACCGGACTATCTGTTCCACGATATCAGTATGCGCGGGGTGAATATCCATTTGGAATATTACTACTGCCTCGGAAAGATCCACGGAGCGAGTAGCTCTTCCAAGATACCTTCTCCGCAGAGCTGGTCGCCTCTCCCATCTAGTGCAGAGCTGTGCTTTGAAGCTGCGCGGTGTTCGCTGATCTACATCTGGCGAGTCCGCCAGTTCATCAACCAGCATACATTCTGGTAAGGGATGCTGAACTTGTCATACATATATATACCTAGGTACTAATTCGGGGTTCTGTCGTGTTCTAGGCTTCACGCGCAGTTTCTCCTCACGGCCGTTCTCTCGGTCTTCTGGTATCTAATCACTGTTCCGACTTCATCTACTTTCACAAGGGATCTCAAGACCTTGGAGGATATCGCTGGGCTCTTGGCTCACCTTGGCAGACCGGCGGATGATGGGCAGACTTACCCACCATTTTATTTAGCGCAGGCTTTTGTTGAGAGGTTGGTCTCCATGGCGCGGCATTCCAGGTCTAGGATTGAGGGTACATGATAGGATTGTTCAATACTTCCAGTCACTACTCCCTTGAAAGTGGTACTTTTGTATATATAGGCAATGCTAGTACACCCCGTGACTCGGGCTTGGGAGTTTGGATTGACGTAGGTATCATCTAGGAGTATACGAAGTATAGCTCCCACCTTTAGACGTTGCATGACTTCCGCTAGGCATTGAGTTGGCCGGTTTAACTGATCTGTGCTATTGAAATTAAATACCATGTGACGAAAGTATGTATTTATCAATCTGTCAATATGGAGTGCGGCTTTTCCACCAATCCCTGTCGTTTAAGTATACATCTACTCCCTCTCCCCCTCTCCCCTGCAGATTAATCTTGATATCTCTCTTCCTTTCACCTTCCTCTTTTCTTTTCCCTCCCTCTCTTCTCTTCGCCACTCTCCTCTCCTTCATCTACCACTGTAACTCCTTGCTAAATGACAGGCAACTTCCTAGTCACCAAACGACCGATCACCAGCTAAAACATGAATAGCGGACGCTGAGAAGCGAGAAAATATTCCGGGTCCACCTTTTCACAATAACCAGAATGGCTTTGAGCCGCCACTTACCTTAACACTATTAACTCCAAGTTCGCGATGCGTGGGGACTATTGTACGCTAAACTGCTTTATAATGCATTCGTTCGCTCCTCTCTTCAACAGCCCGGCCGGGCTAGCTCAATCGGTAGAGCGTAAGACTCTTAATCTTAAGGCTGCGGGTTCGACCCCCGCGTTCGGCTATTCCTACAAAAACTTGAGATTTCTTTTTTGCTCTTTTCTTTTCTGGATTTGTTCGGTGATGACAGAGGGTGCATCAATAGACCTTTTTTTTTTTTGGCTTTGCTAGGTATATCTGTTGGTGCTCAAGTGCAGGTATCTGCATGATTTACCGGGGCTCTGAACTCGCCTCAAAGCTTGTCTTTTTATTTTTTGGAGCTATTCCTTGTTGGTATCCGGTGATATATATTTAGATCTGAAGAGCAAGGATCCCTAATCTTGCATATGTATTAAAAAGCCAAAAAAAAAAAAAGTATATCCTTTATTAATGTAACCAGAGCCGTCCATCCCTGTCAACTATATACAACACGGCCCTATCAAGTCAACCCAATCATCAGTCATATCGTAAGCTACAAGATACACACGAAAGCCTACAACCCCCCTCGCAGTAGACGGGAAAATGCAACGCCCTGAAGTACCCCAAACACACCCTCACAGCTTCGTTCCCTCGCGTCCACTGTCACTGGGACGCCTGGGTCGAAGAGGCCCTGAGGGACTGACCAGCAGCATGGCTCGGCCCAGCCACCGACGATGCCATATTAGTCCGTGTCCCTTCGCTTTCTGTAGAGTTGGGGCGAACAGCTCCTCCCCGCGTCCCCTGGTGAAGACGAGGGTTCATGAGCCACTGGACCTGCATGCGGACACTGTTGACCGCCGCATTCGTGTGGGCTATGTCCTCCTTGATGCGCATACATTCATTCATGATAGCCATGCTGGCGCGAGCATCTAGGTCGGTGATAGCATGCGAAAGTTGGCTGACCTCTTCCCGGAGCGATTCGTGCAGGGAAAGCAGATAGGTCGTGGCATTGGATGAAAATACACTCCCAGCAAGGTCTGCAGGATCATCTGTGTGGGCGTCGGCGCGAGCAGAGGATTGCTGTTCTCGGCCTGACTGGGTAGGCTGCCCACCGCTATGGCTGTTCGCACCCAAGCGCGTGGATTCGACAAGAGTGGACCGAATGTTTGCGAGCCCATCCTCGAATATCTCATTCCGCTGCTGCAGATGCCGCATACTTGATTCAAGGGACTTGAGCCGGGCATTCTGCGTCTCAAAGTAAGGGCCCATTGCGACTATGGGGCAGCTTTGCTCGTGTGCTGCAATATCTGCCCGTCGGATCTTAACTGGACATGCATATTTGGATGCTGTGCAGGGAATCGCAACCTCCGGACATGATTCAATATGCTCCTGCAGTGCCCCTCTAGTGACAACAGTTTCGCAGTCAGCACATGTGACCTCAAGAACTGGACAAAGCTCTTTCTCATGCTCCTAGCATAGTCGTTTCTGGTCAGCATCCATAGAATTTCTAATAAGTTCAAGTGGGTAACAAACCTCGTATTCATGCTCTAGAACATCTTCTTCGCAATGCGCGCACCGTCGCACTTTATGAATACACTTCTGATCCATCCCAACATCCTTGCTCCGCGTCATCTGATCGCATGAATTATCCGGACACGGCAATAGCCGATACCCACAGTACTTCTCAACATGCGACTGGACATGGCCTCGGGGTATTATCTCTTGACAGCCCTCCGTTATTAACGGACATCGCACTCGGATCTCGTCGCACATGTTGATCAGCAGGCGGGGCACGCTAGCCGACACCTTCTGGGTGGGATTTCGGCAAGAGGGACACGGGAACTCGTCCGAGTCGGCCGAGCGGAAGGTGTTTATTGCCGAACTGAGGCAACTCCCGCAGAAGACATGGTCGCATTGAAGACGGACGGGTTCAACGAAGGGACAGTGACAGATCGGGCACATAAGGTGCGAGTCGTACTCGGAGACGAGATCAAGGCTGCGGAGGTCGATTAGCTCGTCGCGCTCGCGGCTTTCTTCCATTGCTAGGAAGTCCTGTAGATTCATGTTGCGCGGAGTCCGAGCCTATCGGGAGGCCTTCCAAAAATATGCAAAGTACCAACGGACTTTAATTCCCTATGTTGTTGCTTCTTTGAAATGCGGAACTGGTGCGCGGATTCATGCAGCTTTGCGCTAGATACCGAGGTAGACCGAATAGTCCAGATCCATGAGGATGAGACTCAGAAAACAATCAGTTGAGCGATCGGAAGCAAATGCTTGCAAGACATAGACATGTTAATCTTCCGAGCTGAAGAGAAGGCGGGATGACTGCGGGGGGGGACCAAAGGGAGGCAAAGGCGGAAAGTGGTTGATCCGCACTTGTTGCCTCCGCTTGTGATTCCTCGTCTTACCCATCTCCACCTTCAACCTCGCCCGGGCGTAAACATCTCAAACAGTCTGACTTTATCTGACTTGGCTGATCGGAGGTCTTTCTCCGTATTGACCATCCAAACGCCTACGATTTATACATCTCAACAGCCTGTCATTTTGATCTCACACTTCTCATCATGACGAACCCTTCCCAGCTATTCCTACTCGCCGATCACATCAAATTGTCCCTTTTGGAGCGCGAAAGGGCAATCTCACTCAATCTCGAGCCCAATTCCAAAGATGGAGAGATCTCTTGGTCTCTTGAGTCACTCCGGGAGAGCATAGAGGCTTTGGAAGCCGAACAAACCCGGCTAGCCAACTCGCATGACAGCGCAGGCGCCACCGCTTTGAAAGACCAACTCACCCCCCTCCAAGCCCAATACAAAGATCTCTCGACCCAGTTCTACGGCACAGGCGGCGAGCCATCCGAAAACACGACGCAGGCGTCGAAAACTGCCAGCCCCGACCTCAAGCAGCCAATCCCACAACATCCACCTTCCAAATCCGTCCGTTTCATGGACAGCTCCGCCGCAGCGGCAGCCGTACAAGATGAGCTTGACGAAGAGGATGAGCGCAACCGCAGCAACCTCTTCCGTCCATATCGTGATGAGCCATCGCCGCGGCCGGATCTGTCAAACCTTGACAACCAGCAGATATACGACCACCACGCTCAAACAATGCGAGACCAGGATGACCAGTTGGATCGGCTGGGTGAATCAATTGGTAGACAGCACCAGCTGAGTATTCAGATTGGGGATGAACTGGATGGCCACGTTCAACTTCTCGATGGGATGGATGGGGACGTCGAGCGTCATCAGAACCGGCTAGACGGTGCGAGACGGCGCATAGATAGGATCCGCCGAAAGGCGGGCGAGAACTGGAGCATGATGACTATCATTGGATTGATCATTGTTCTGGTCATCTTGATCGTGATCCTGAAATGATACCCCGATACTGGTGGATGATTGGAGGGTCTCTTATTGCTATTACTTTTTTTTAACCTTTTTCCTTTGGCGAGCGGGCGTTTACAACTTTACGCGATATGGGACGATTGATTCTCCTTATGTTTTTTTTTTTTCACTTGGCTCGAGGCGTTAAGGCAATCGAGTCGTCCCTAGATTCTTGATCATACTACATCTACAAAGCCTACCCTTGATCATAAACTTCCATATCTAATTATTTGCTCAGACAAAGTGTGCAGTATCAATTGTCATTGACGAATGCGATAAACTCGAATGAATCACCATAAAAGACTCCCAACAGTCTCACCCGTAGACTGCTTCAATAAAATACATGAGGAATAAACGAAAGCCGCGAGCGAAAATTCACAAAGGGCGGATGGCTTTCCCTTATTGTTTATTGTACTTCGAGCTCCCAACATTTTTCGTTCTCTCCTGCATCTTCTGGAATTCGGCATCACCATCTAACTCGCCGCGATCCGCTTTGACCTGAATGAATCAAACATATTAGCTCTGCTGAAAAATGAACTCTAGGGGCCAATGCTTACCCCGGCCTCGCTGTTACTAGCCAGCTCGGACTTCCACTTCCCCTTGCCCTCCACAGTTTCCTTGATGACTTCTCGTTTATGGGATTCGTAGTGGCTGGAGAGGTCGTCGCGGTCTTGTTGTGGTTAGTAGGGCTGGGACAAGTTGGTGGTGGTATTACTGACTCTTGTCATCCTCTTTCAAGCTCCGGACTGCTGAGGAATGGAACGTAGAAGCTGGCACGGCGAAGTTGGTCCGGATAGCTTGGCGGGAGGAGGCACGGATGGATGTGAGGAATGACATGATGGTTATGATATAGGTGAGGTGTAGATAGGATGGTAAGGTAACTTCAGTAACTTCGGAGATTCAAGTTCGCAGATTGAAAGAGAGGAAGAGTATTTGAAATCCAAAATGATTGGAAGTGTCGATATTTAAAGAAGCAGGTCTTTTTCCATTCGGTTCTGAGTGTCCTGATGCTATATGACATCATCGGGTTGGTGGGTCTATGCTACATGTGAATATACCTAGGTAGCCCTGGAGGTATGTAGCTACCTAGGTAACCATGGACAGTCACGTCGAGAGGACACTAGTAGGGAATATTCCTAAACTTGACATTCGAAGATTTTGAAGCTTTGATATACTCCGTGTTAAGGACCGTTGCTGTCCTATGTTGTATGTCGTATGTAGGATCTCCCCGCATAAAAGTGTGGAGACGTTCCGACTTCTTGATTTTCTTGATTTTCTTGATTTTTGAAAATAGTCGTCAATATACTCGACCAACCACCTGGGCAGCTTTATTATGTGTTTTGATAGTACCTTAAAGTGACGCTGGAGCCCTGGAGGGAAAGATCCCTCAGGCCAATGATTGTTCAGTGGGCCATGTCTCAAGGGCTTGAGGGACGTGATATAACGAAAACTAAGGTTCCTGTTTAGGGCCTCAGGGGGCCATGGCCATATCCCAGTCTGACAGAAGGCAATCCAAGGCTCCTTACACCCCAGGTCCATTAACTGGATGCTCTGGCAATCAATGGACGTGCATATAATACGAACAATCCTCATGTCGATCATTGCACTAATAAAACCGCCTGCACAGCCTCAAGCTGAGCCTCAAGCCGTGGCCGGGTGAAAAAGAGCTGCCCCGCATCAGATGAATATCTGTCTATTCCAGCGAAGATTTGCCTCCATTCATCGTCCAAACGCATTTTATTGCGATGTCAGGTCTCGAGGTGGTTGGTGTTGTCGCCAGCATCATCCAGATCGCAGACCTTGGCGCCAAACTATCCGTCAAGCTCTGTACTTTCTACAAAACAGTCAAAGTCGCAAACAAGTCAATGCAAGAGCTTTCCAGCGACGTTTCACTTACCTGCAGCATTCTAAACGAGCTCGGCAAGACACTCGAACAAGATGACCAGACAAGGCTTTGCTCCAAACAGGCTTTTTCCACGGCACAAGAGGTCTTACAGGAATGCAAGTCGGTATTCGAAGAAATTGACTCCGCAATCGAAAAGCATACCCAAGACAATGAGAAGAATCGCCTTTTGCGACACGCCCGAAAAATCACGATCGCACTCCTTGGACCGGACTTGGATGTCCTCAAAAGTAACTTGGAGAGGCTAAAATCGACAACATTATTGATGCTGCATGTCATCATGTATGCGGGACAGCTTCGCAAGTGAGTTTCTTTGCTTGGTTATCTGATCTCTTGATCTAACGTTGGCAGGGCAAATGAGAAATCTACCATGGCCGATCAACGTGGTCTCATCCAAACTCTTCTAGAAGAGAAAATCGCGAACGATGCCAAATATAATACCCTTAGCAAATCTATCCAAGCTGTTTCTATCCCCGAAGACGATAGCGCCTTTCAGCCCTCAGTCAAAGCTTTGAGCATTGATCCGCAGCCAACTCCACCAACTCCTCTCTGGAACGAAGTGGGAGAATATTACAATCTGGTTCGAGGCCTACTCTGTCAAATCGACGCATACCAAGATATCCTAGAGAAGAGTCGCCATCTCAGAATTCGAAATGGTGTTATAAATGTGCATTCGGCGGAATCTGTTCTCTTTCAACATATTCATGGCCAAGCGGCAAATCAACTTTTTGATGACCCCATATTCAGATTCAGGGATGCTTCTTTCCCTGCAACTCACCAAGTACATACGAGGTCCGATTTCCCAGACAAGACTGCAAAACGTGGAAAGACGCGAGCAGAACCCTCTTATAGCTCTGATTCCGAATATGAACCAGAGCGTGAAAGGACTGGGAGATCCTATGTCCACAGAGAACGCCGGCGCGATCGAGATGAGACTCGTGTGAGCGTCAAGAGCTGCATTACTCCATCTGAGGATAATCTTTCGAACTCCACAAGCTACGAAGACTCTTGCCGCACAGCCCCTGCGCTGCACAAACGACGTAACATTAGTCGCAGTCTGCGTCTGCCTACGACCATGTCGCGGTATGAGCGAGAAGTGGGCGATGAGCCACCCGCGCGCAGAGATTCCGATGAAAGAGATTACTATGGACGTGAGTGTTCGAGTTCATCATAGCTCTACAATAATAGTCGGCATTGTGCTAACATGGGCCATTTAAAAAGTCCCGTATGCATACATCAACTCTCATAAATCCGAACTTGAAGCGCGCCGCGCCGAGGCAGAGAATACTTCCCGTCGTCGTTCGCACTTTGGCCATCGCTCTTGGCCCGATCCCAGACCTGGCGATTCAACCGCCCAAGCCCCCCAGCGCCGTCAGAATCGTGATCGAGACCACAGCAGCGATGACAGCAAGATATGCATTGACATGGATAAAAAGGGAGCAGAGGACCAGCCCATGCTAGCTCCTCCTTCACAGCCTATCAAATCCAGCTCTGATGATGGTGATTATGATGATGATATTCTCATCATCGATGGAGTGAACAAACTGATAGGAGAACCAATTGAAAGCAAAGAAGAGAATTGGGACTCATCCTCGTACGTATCCGGCGAACCTGCATCGGATATAATAACACTGGAAAGTCTGGTGTTGCAGTGGACAACACTCAAAGAAGAGGAACTCCATGTATAATAGAATAACGAGCAAATATAATTCATTCATTGGCTTTGCTTGGCCCTCAAATTTTGGAACGAACTATAACCATTAGCAGGATAGAGCTGGAATTTATATTGCTTGGCATATCTACAAATGTCATAGTATTGCTTTTGTGGGCGGACTTTTGGTAAAATATCGGTGTGATGAGTAAATTTTCCTATCAGGGCAAGCTGGTTATGAGCATAGAGGGTTAAATGGAGAATGGCGTGAATATTACATATGGTCATTTAGCTAGATTATTGTCTACATTAGGGACCTCCCTTGAAGTCTACTGGGAAATAGTTCTTTGAGGAAGTGAAAACAATATATATTTCTGTATTTCGAAGCATTCTCTATCAAATAAACAAGACTTAACTGAAGAAAAACAAGAGCTGCTAAATCTCACACAGCTAAGACAATCAAATTGCATGCACTGCGAGGGCTGTTGAATGGACGCACAATCCTCCTATGATTGTATACCTGTCTCAAGGTAAGATTTATTTTCAATATCAAACCGTATCTGCATGATAGTTTTCCTCCAGACAACGACTCTGGTGATACGATGTGTACCTCTAGGGAACGCCGACAGAACAACAGCCGCCGCTCCTTTCCCAAGCTGTGTGCCTAGAATGGCCTTGTATTCGGGGGTATCAAAGCTCCAGACCACTTGGTTCTGTGATGCTGAAGATCGCTGGAAATCCTGGGAACCAGCTGGTTGAGTTCTAGCCCAAAGGTCTTGTATGAAGTCCCTGGTATCTGTGTTGATAATATTTTCGAGGTAAATATGTCTCAAGATATTCCGCGCGAAGTGAGTATCGTACTGTGCAAGGGCGACTTGACTCCACCAAGGTCCATCGTATCTTTCAACGTTTCTCAGGATAATAACCCCTAATGCGGTCGAGATATGGTAAAAGTTTGTTCCCGAACCTCTTTTAGGGTGCGGAGTGGACGAGTTCTTTGAGATCTTGATGTCGTGGTAATCTTCAGGACCTGTAGGGAACCCACAAGCCTCGAGGTCATCTCGAAGACCGATGGGTGCTGGTCCCCAGCGGTTGAAATTTGTTGTCCATCGTTGGGACCTGTGTGCACCATGGGTCAGGCTTCTAAATTCAAAATTTAGCGGTTTCACTGTACAGTTGGGCTCGTTTGCATCATCGATCCATCTTTGTCGCAAGCCTCCCCACATCTCGCGCTCGCCGTACTGATAATCGTTAGGGTTATCGGTTGGGATGGAACCAGGCTGAGAGGATGCAAAAACAGGATTATTGGGAGGGACGACAGGGCTGGAGGCGGGCAAGCCTACTGGAGCAGGGGGGGCTTATGTATTGTAGCTCTATAGGGTCATCGCCGGTAGGAGGACCAAAGCCTGGGGATCTGCGGCGGCGATTGCGGCAGATACCGAAACAATTCAACAAGCAACAACCAGGCATAGCTGCGTATATATTGGATTTGATCGGAACCTATAAAACTAGAATACCGGTTATTGAATAGAGTATCGAGTGCTGTATTGAAGGATGAATGATGAGCTTGTACTTGTCCATTTGATACAGAGACATGCCGAGGATTATATAGATGTGAGTTAAGTAGGTGGCGCATACTCGACCGTGAGTATCCCTTTCAAGTAACATACAAAGGGGACGAAAAGAGAAACATTTAGCACAAAGAGTCGACAGAAATATCAGCACTGGAACAAGACAGACAATGTTAACGGAAGCCGAGGTCATGATCCTAAATAGAGATTAACAAGTAGACAAAGAAGTCGAAGTCGAAGACACCGAGAATAATGAGCACAGCAAGTGCGAAAATAGTAATTACAAAGACGATCGTCGACAAAGAGAACATTGTAGACCAACACAAGAGCATAGACAAAGAAGTCGATGAGATCAATGCCAAAAGCTAACTGGTGCTAACTGGTCTAGCAATTCAGGATTGGCACATTTCAGGCTAAATGATACAGAGATCAAATGATATAGAGATCATTAGCCTGGTATATACACCATTCCAACCAGTTCCGGACCTAGGGCATTGTCGCCGTGATGGCCACTTCGCTGCAAGCTTATATCCATACCAAGCCTATGGTTTCTTCGTTGCCTACAATCTCGCATGTAGTTCATTTATTTGACCTTAGATGGATATCGCCTTTGACCTATCATCAGGTCATGATCCGGACACTAAGACACCATCTTGAAACATGTCCAATTGCGGGATACTTGCGGTATTTGAATAAAGAACATGCATGTTTATTTCAAGGCCGTTAGCCTATTAAAGATCATGGAAGCAGGCTAAGACTGATACTTTCACAACTTGAGCTAGTTAATCTACCCCTGAACTTGATTTAACGTGAGCATTTCTGCAGGACCATTTCTCCGAGGCTTCCCCTGTCTCCATATGCATCAAAGAGGAAAGGGGAAATAACACTGCCAATCATTGTCAATCGGCTGTACATGTGCAGCAACGGGTATTATACCGTTTATTGCGGCCTTAGCGTAAAACATGGTCTCACATTAGTTCGATTTATGCCACGGAGTAAATAAATCCTATATAAGCTTCCCCGATCACCTTGGAAACTCATGTCAACAGCCCAATCTATTAATTGCTTTATGATATATCGCATCTTGAACAGCTGAGGTATCCTTTCCAGATGAAGACCATCCTTCTAAGCGTTCTGCTGCCGGCATTAGCCAGCGCAGCGACAACAAGCGGTAAATTCACTGCGCTGAGCTTCAACGTCGCAGGCCTGCCATCCATCCTCCAATCGAACGATGTCAATGGCACAAAAGTCGAAAATGCCAAGCTGCTCGGCACCTACTTCTCACAGTATGGCTACGATATCATCAACATGCAGGAGGTGCCGTTCCACCCAGTCTTCCTAGTATACCAATCGATCTAACCACCCTCTAGGATTTCAACTACCATGCCTACATCTATGAAACAGATACCCACGCCTACCGGACCGCTACTTCTGGCGGCGCGGCCATCGGAAGTGGTCTGAACACCATCTCCAACTACAACTGGGTAGACTTCGCACGCGTGAAATGGAACAAATGCTCCGATGCATCCAGCTCAGACTGTTTGACCCCGAAGGGTTTCACCTTCATGCGCTGGAACCCGGCCGATGGAGTCTATGTAGACTTCTACAACCTCCACGCGGACGCTGGGTGAGTACAAGCTATTCTCAAGTTGTAATTGACCTCATGACTGACTCCAGCCAAGCACCGAGGACGAAGACGAAACTGCCCGGAACTCCAACTTGCAGCAAGTCGCAGATTACATCGACACCTGGTCGACCGGTAACGCCGTCGTAGTCATGGGCGATACGAACAGTCGCTACACGCGCGCCAAAGACACGGCCATTCGCGTCTTCAAGTCCCAGAATACCCTCGCAGACCCCTGGGTCGAGCTTGAGAAAGATGGTGTCTACCCCACTGCTGGGGCAGATGCCTTGGTATGTGAGAATCCGTCTTCTGTTCAGACCTGCGAGACGGTTGATAAAGTGCTGTACCGGGGGTCCAACGTTGTGTCGCTCAAGGCAGACAGCTTCGTCTATGCCAGCGAGAAGTTCACAAACACAGACCCCAAGTATTTGGGCGAGATACTCGCGGACCATAACCCGATTCTTGTGAACTTCACCTGGTCGCTTTCGTCATCGCTGCGACAAAGTCAGTTCTCTGGTGGTCCGCATGGGACCTGGTTTAGTGATCTGCCAAGTATTCCTTCGTCGCCTGCCGCTTCTGTGATTACTTTCTCTGGTGCGGAGAGATTGGATTCCGTTGCTTTGGAGTTGAAGGATGGCACGTCGTTTAGCCATGGAGGAACTGGTGGCACTAAGGCCTCTCTTACCCTGGCCTCTGGGGAGTATTGGACGGAGACCAAGCTCTGTACTGGGGAGCATAATAACCACACTCGCAACTTTTATATCAAGGCTACTACCAGTACTGGTAAGACCTTGGAGGCGGGCACTTCAACTGATAATTGCCAGACATTTACTGCCCCTGATGGCTTTGCGGTTGTGGGTTTCATGGGACAAGCCGCGGATGAGATCGATCAATTGGCTTTGGTGTATGCGGCCTATTAAGGGCCAAGGAAGCGATTAGATAATTGAGATGTGAAGTCAAATTTCTGGTGAATATGTATGTGCTCATTTGCCATTTTGGCCAATCGTATCAAGTCATGGTTTATGCAATGTATGTCCCAAACGCCGAGGTATTCCACAGAAACCTTACCCATATGCACCGCGCTGTGTAAATAAGCCAAGAAGAAAAAGCACTTTAATCAACCACATCCTCCGGGAGAACATCATCCGGGTTCTCCCCCAACTGCTTGTCCCACCAAGCGCACGACGCGCTTGATCGCCTTGGACGCGGGACTTTCCGGGAAGTTATCCACGAAGCTCTCGCCAAAGTCACACGCCATGCCAACGCGGGGATCCAGAGGCACAGCACCTAGGAAAGGAATTCCCATTTTCTTCGCTAGCCGGCGACCCCCGCCAGTTGTCGCTCGGAATATTTGCGACTCGTGGGTGCAGCTAGGACAGACAAATCCAGACATGTTCTCTACCAAGCCCAGTACCTTAATTCCAGCCTTGCGGCAGAAGTCGACCTCCTTGCGAACATCCAGCAATGAGACCTCCTGCGGGGTAGTCACGACAACGGCACCGTCAACGCCAGACTCTTTCAGTAAAGAGTTGACAGACAGATGCTCGTCAGACGTTCCGGGAGGTGTATCGACAATCAGGTAGTCCAGCTCGCCCCAGTCCACATCTTTGAGGAATTGCTTGATCAGTCCGTTCTTCTTAGGCCCGCGCCAGATCACCGCATCGTCCCGGTTGGGCAGCATGAACTGAACGCTCATTGCGCCCAGGTTATCTGTCACCCAGACCGGACTCCAGCCGGCATTGCTGATATGAATAGTCTCTGACTCCACGCCCATCATCTTGGGGATCGAAGGCCCGCAGATATCGGTGTCCATGATGCCGACGGTGGAGTCTGGGTTGGCGGCGAAAGCGTGCGCGAGGAGAGTTGAGAACGTAGATTTGCCGACCCCTCCCTTTCCAGAGAGGACTAGGATCTTGTGTCGTATTTGAGAGAGTCGTTCAGTGATGATCGGGATGTCGGGGTCGGGCCCTTTGGGCGCGGTGGCGCAGATCTGTTGGTTTGGGCAACCGGCACAGGCATCGCCTTGACCAGCTTGCTCGGATTCAGGGCCTGGGCAGTGTTCTACTGAGAGTTAGTGTGTGTATATTGTGGCAATGATTCTGCGCATGCGTACCTGGTTCGGGAGCGACAAGGCTGGGTGGCACCTTGGACGAGACTGCTAGAGACTCCTCGAACTCCTCCACGTAGGGCGCCATTTTAGATTGCTGCTCTGTGTGGCAATGAGAATGAGAGCAAGCGACCGAAAATAATAAGATAAATGTTATGCAGTTGGAAGAAATAGAGAAATTCGATGTCCGGTGGCGGACTGATGCTTGATAAGCGGGGATGACTAAAAACCGGATGCGATTGGCGGGGCAAAGCATATCTGCGGTGTCGGAGCGCGCAAGTGTATAGAAGCCGAGAGTGAAGTATTTCATTTCATATGATCGCTATGCTAACTGAAACTATAAAACACTGAAGAATAATAGGACATACTGTGTAGACAATAGGCAAAGCAACTGGAGAATAATGCATGGTTTGAGAACCCCGTCTCTATAGCAAACCACCTTATCTCTTATGTCCATTTGCCAAGCCAACCAGATCTCCATATTTTAGTGTATTTGTCGTTGCGGTATATTGACTGGCCTCCGGTGAGACAGTCAAGATCATGGCAGAATGAGTATCGGTGGATGCCTCGAAGTGCTCCCGCAGCACCATGGTCAATGGAGAGGAGCGGTACGGGATACGAGATTTCTTGCTCGATCGGGCTCGGATCACTTCTTTCAACGCGAGGAGATCAGTATTTATCTGCCTGCCTTCTTGCTTCTCTTGGGGGGTTTGCTTGAGCGCAGAGTCAGTCGTGCTGGAAAGGAACTCAGCGCCGGCCAGATCCACGAACACAAGTTTCCCACCAATACATCGATGTGTGCGAGCGGTAGTTGCAAACACTTGAGACTCATGCTCTTCTGCTTCTTTCACGCGAGTCTCGAATTCGGCTTTTTTTGCTTCTGCGGCATCGACGCGTGCTTGATCCATTTGATAATCAGGATTCGGAACGAATTTGCCCTCGTCAGTCTGGATAACTGCGCGAGATTGTTCCTCGATATAAACATCAGTTGCATGTTTCCCCACAGGAACAAGCTCAGATTGCCGCTCAACCACCTGATCACGCGCATTGAGAAGATCCTTAGTGATGATTTCCAGTTCGATCACGGCATGGGTGCGTGAGCTTTGATCGTGCACCGTCGATGTCGCAGTCTTGCGATGTTTCAGGCCTTTCTGTAGCTCCTGGTGCA